CCTATAGTAGTTTGGGGGGGTTCCTTATTATAACTATGGTATAATATACCGCAAACCCTATTCTAATTATTAAGGCACTTGCAGCATCTGTTTGTTTCTGTTTATACATACATACAGAGATACACATTTATCGTAGGCTTGAGGTTTATGCTTGAGGGTTAAAGGCTTAGTTTTCGGGGTTTCTCGTTTAGGGTCGAGGGCTTGGGGCGCAGGTTTTAGGGTTTAGGGTCCCGGGCGCCAATCAGTGGGTTCTGACACGATGCCTGCCCATGGTGGCAAGCAGGGTTCCATAAAATTTAGACCGCTGTCCTTCCTGAACACCTTCCGCAACCTCGAAAACCAAACCCCTAGGCCTACAACCCTATGCTAGGATTCTTGTGACTAGAAGGGACCCACGAAAAAAGATAAGCCTTACAGTTCAAACCAAAACAGTCGTTGCTTATTAACAAATAACCATTGCGGCTTAAACCCCATCGGAACAAACCGCCTAGCTTTTGCCGTTCACGAAGCCCCAAACCCTAAACCCTAAACCCTGAACCCTAAACCCTAAACCCTAAACCCTAAACCCTAAACCCTAAACCCTGAACCCCAACCCCACGGGCCAGTAGACCTTAAACCCCAAGCCTCAGAGAACCCTAAACCCCAAAACCCGACACCCCAAAACCCTAAACCCCAAACCCTAAACCCTGTGCCTCTAGAGCAAAAGCTGAACGTCCCAAGTCCCAAGCTCCCGAGATTCCACCGCAAGGTCAAAAGGCGCAAGGAAGCCGGAATGCCCTCCTTGGGCAAGGCCTACTTTGCTTTGATGAACCATAAGGGTTTAGGGTTTAGGGTTTAGGGTTTAGGGTGTTCTTCTGGTTGGCTCTTTGGACTTTAAGTTTTGGGGTTTCTAGATGAGCCATAATCAGGAGGCTAAAAGTTTAACTTTTTGGAGGGGTTCAGAAGTCAGCCAATTAAGGCAGTTTAGGGAGTTTTTATAAAGAAGTCATCATAAGGAATCCTAAAAAGGTGGGTTCTTTAGGGTCCAGGTAAACCCTAAACCCGGGTTGGTTGAGGGTTCCAAAAATTGGTCCTGTATTAAAGGAATGTTATATTAACATAGACCATAAACCCTTAACCCCCCTAAACCTTCCAACCCTAAAGCCCAAACCGCAGAGGCTTGGCTTGAGAGTTGGAGGTTTCGTAAGCCCTACACCCTAAACCCTAAACCGCTCACGAAGTTCATGCTTGGGCTTCGGTCGCAGCTTGTTCAGACGTTCGGGGTTCCTTTCAGCGGCTCCTTTAAGGGTTCCTTTAAGGGGGGCTACTTTCGGGGTTCCTTTAGGGGGCCTGTGAGGGTTCCTTTAAGCGGCTACTTTCGGGGTTCCCTTACGGGGGCTTTCAGGGCTGCTTTAAGGGGCTCGGGTTCCGTTTCGGAGCTCCTTCAGTGGGGGCGTTTGGGTTTGAGCGTTTAGGGTTTAAGGGCTTAGGGGTTCAGGGTTTGAGGGTTTAGGGGTTTAAGGGCTTAG